CCTGAAGGGAATGGGAGCATGGAGGGAGTAGAGAGGGAGGTCGGAAAAAGAGAGGAGGAGAAGAGGGGAGAGGAGGACATGGGGGATTAGGAAGGTTGAGTCTGGGGATGAATAGAGGAGAGCAGAATGACAGATACCATAATAGAGGGAGTCATTATGGGTGTGAGGAGAGATCTGGCACTAGACAGATTTCTAGAGATCTATAAGGATGACATGAACTGGCAAACTACGCAACAGTGGAGAGGCTACCTTAAATGCCCTTCCCCGACAATGAGTTTGCTGACTATCTTACATGCCATCCTGAAACCTTCATCCAGTGGCTGATGGAAGCAGAGGTAGACACCCACATCTAAACAATGAACTGAACTCCTGGAACACATTTGCAGAGAGGGAAGAGTGATGAGCAAAAGGGTCAAGACTGGGCTGGTGAAACCCACAGAGACAGCTGACCTGAACAAGGGGGGAGCTCATGGACCCCAGATTGATGGCAGAGAGACTAGCACGGGACTGACACAGACCACCTAAATTTGGGTGTCAGTGAGGAGGCCTCAGCAATCTCTGCAAACTTGGGTAGTTTATCCCTGGCATACAAATGGATTTTGGGTGCCCATCTCACATGTGGGATGCCTGGACACATGGGGGAAGGCCTAGGCCCTGCCCTGGATGAAATGACAGACTGTGGAGATGCCCCATGGTGGGCCTCATCCACCCTGGGGAGTGGAGGGGGGATTTGGTGGGGGGGGTGGAGGAGGTGAGGGAGAGGGAGCTGGGATTGACATGTGAAGCAAACTTGTTTCTAATTTAAATAAAAATTATTTTTAAAAGGTACTAACAAATTGTTTTGCTTTTAAGATATACATAAAAGTGGCATCATCACTGACATAATACAATAAATATGGAATATGCCCAGCAATTTAAGAGAAAGTGAAAATCTAAAATAATGACAGTAAAAATAAAACTGTTTCCCTTTTTTCTTGCCTGTGCTCTTTATGATGCATTGAGAGTAACATAACCTTGTTACTATAGTGAAAGTAAAGTTGGTTACTAATATGCCTAGACAGAGCTTGAGTAGTATGTGAATAAACTTTTCTGTGACCCACGGCCAAGGACCCAGGTCTCTTTCCTTCTGTACTAAATTCAGCTAACCAAGAATAAAATACATTCCTAGATAGATACTGCATCCTTGTTGAAATCTCCAATCTTACATTTCCTATAGATTTGAATCACCTTTAAAACATAATTTATTAAGATTCTAAACTCATAGTGTGCTTATCTTTTCTGTGTATTGTTCCTGCAGATGTGTTTGTGTCTGCTATTACTCATATAGATAAAAAGCACACAAGTAATTTAGGGATTAATAGAAAAACAGAGGTCTGCATGGAACATTTCCCTCAGTGCATATTATCATGTTGACATAGTTTGCCTATTTCTGACTTACTACAAAACAAAATGAGCTGATTTTACCCTGAAGTTTCTCTAAAAAATATATCACCAGTAATGCTCACACTTTGATTTCATATTAGAGGAAACTCACCCTCTCTTAAAATTGCTATAGAATTCAGCCCCTGAGAGACTGTGTAACACATTTAAAAAAAAACAAGATATGGCCATGTCAAATTAGCATGCTAGTTATAAATTAAACCAAATGTTATTTTAAAATTAAATGCAAGTCAGGAGTTGGTGGTGCATACATTTAATACTAGCTTAATTTCAGTACAAAGGCAGGTAGATCTCTGTAAGTTAAAGGCCAGCCAGGTCTACAAAGCAAGTTCCAAGATAGCCAGGGCTACACAGAGAAACTATGTCTTTAAAAATAAAAATTAAATGTGTTTATTTTAAAAGATTTACATTAAAAAAATGTAACTCTGTCTGGGCCTGGAACTTGCTGTGTAGACCAGACTGGCCTTGAATTCACAGAGATCCTCCTGCCTCTGCCCTGAAATTAAGTTAATATTAAAGGTGTACATCATGCCTGGTTTAATTCTTTTTTTTTTTAGTTTTTATCCCTAACAGTAACCTTAACTCTACAATTCAAACTATACTTGTAAATGACTAAGGAAAACTTGGAACCCAAAGAGCACAATGAGAACACAAAGGCTGGAGGACATTGTGAACAGACTAGAAAGAAGGGTTCCTGAATCACAGAAAGGAAAGTGTGGTAGTCAGGATACATGTGTGTCAGATGTGGTGGGGCTTCCCCAACCAGCCCCGAAGGCCTCCTTGCTGCTCCAGACACTTCTGGATGTCTACAGTGCTCATGCCATTTCTTACTTTCCTAAAGACCACAAACTTGTCATCCAAGCTCTCAGCCTCAGCAGAGAAGAGGAAAACCTGGAAGTCATTTGTGGTTGGTCCATCATATGCCATGAACAAGATGTGAGGACTATGTAAACTTCGGGATGATGTTCTCATCATCAAATTTCTCCCTGCAAATGGAAGCATGGCTGGTGTTATGATGCTATGTGAAGTTCCCACCTTAGTACGTGAATCCTGAAAGGATTCCATGAAAGCAGGGATTTTATAGCCAAATCCTTTCCCTTCAGTGCTCACATCACAGACATGGTCTGCTGTCTTAGGAACATGTCTTTAAACATCTTCAAAGAGAAACTTCTCAATGGCCTGCCTCAGTGGCAATAACAAAGAACCCAGCTGTATTCATTGTGAGTGGTAGCAACAAGCTATGAGAAGCAGTGGTTTCTGCAAGCCCTGCTCTTGTTTTTCGGCCCAGTGACTCCATATTTAAGAATTGTCTTTGAACCATGATGGTGCACACTTGTAACCTCAGTTGAGAAATAGAAGCAGGAAGGATTAGGAGACTACACTCGCTCTGAGATACACAGTGAGTTCAAGGCTAGCCTGGAATATATGAAAACTTGTCTCACAAATCAGATAGATCGATAGATAGATAGATAGATAGATAGATAGATAGATAGATAGATAGATAGATGGATGGAGATAAAATTAGAAATGCAAAACTTTCCGAACATCAAAAATCTTAACTTGTTTTTTCTGTTTTTTCCAAGACAGGGTTTCTCTGTATTGTTTTGGAGGCTGTCCTGGAACTCGCTCTGTAGACCAGGCTGGCCTCGAACTCACAGAGATCCGCCTGCCTCTGCCTCCCGAGTGTTGGGATTAAAGGCATGCACCACCAACACCAGGCAGAAATATTAACTTTTTTTTTCCAATTCTCAGCATAGTAATAAATTTTATTACATAGTGTCCTTAAAATTATCAGACAAGCTGCAAGCATATAAAATACAACAAAAAGTTCATACATCTTTAATTTTAGACTTGATATATTTTTTGTCTTTTCACAATCTAATTTGTGATTAGTATCATGTCACAGATAACCATACATAGGATATGAGTGGTGTAAAGAGAAGATCAGAGTACATAATACAGGAAAAATACCATGTCTTTATCTTAAGCACTTGAGAAAGTGAGGAAATCAGGAAATCTTAACTTTTAACACATGCAGCTGACATAAAAAGAAAGCAATGAAGAGCATGATAAAGTATGTTAAATTTTCAGTTTTAATTCTAGAGTTTAGCTTCTTAAATAAACAAATAATAACTAAATGAACATTATACAGTCATTATATCAATATAAATGATATGTAGAAGCATAATAAAATTTTATCATATATTGTATAAAATATAGCAAAATACCTACTGCCTTTGTTTACAAATATTTAGTGTCTCTTTCATATTTGAGGTGTGATAACAGGATATTCAAGTTTCCTCCATCAAACTTCTAAAGAATTGTTATTACTGTGCATTCTTTTTACAAATTGGTGACTTTCATAATGACATTTATATTCAAGTATAGCACAAAGCTTGATCATATTCATTCCCCATCACTTTTTCTGCCCCCACTCCAATGAATCCCATTTTCTTCCCAAATAGCCCCTACCTGCTTCATGTCATATATGTGTACACATATATATAACTATTTGTATACATGAAACATAGGTTCCATATATGAGAAGAATTTGTGACATTTATCATCCTGGATTTGGGTTATTTTGCTTAATATGATGATCCCTAATTCATTTCCATTTTCTAGCAAGTGACACATTTTGCTGTTTGCCTGATTAAAACATTGTGCATACATAACTATATTCTACGTTCATTCATCTGTTGATGGTCACTAAAGTGGCTTCTGTAACTTGGTTGTTGTAGAATAATGCCATAAAAAAGCAAGGGTGTCCAGTTGTAGAGAGGGAGGAATGATGAACAAAGGGGTCAAGACCATGCTGGGAAAATCCACAGAAACAGCTAACCTGAGCAAGTGGGAGCTCATGGACCCCAGTCTGACAGCTGGAGAACCAGCATAAGACCAAACCAGGTCCCCTGAACGTGGGTCTCAGCTAGGAGAACTGGGCAGCCTATGGGGCCTCTGGCAGTGGAACCAGGATATATACCTAGTGCATGAATGGTCTTCTTAGCCTAGATACATGGCGGAGGGCCTAGGCCATGTCCCAAATGACTTGACAGATTTTTGATGATCCCTCATGGAAGGCCTTACCCTCCCTAGGGAGTGGGTGGGGGATGGGTTGGGGAGGGTCAGTGGGGTACATGGAAGTATGGGAGGGAGAAGGGACTGAGATTTGCATGTAAAATAAGATTGCTTCTAATTTAAATAAAATGTGTTGTAAAAAAATCAAGGGTGCATGGGTGTCTCTGTGGCACAGACCTAGATACCTGTAGTCTCATGAGTGTCCTCACTAGACAGTACAGTAGCTCTGCTTTTAGTTCCGAGAGGACCCTCCACAGTGGTTTTCACATGACTGCACTGGGTTATATTCTGTCCTGCAGTGTGCACAAGCCTGCCATCTGACACCAGAAGAGCAGCTCAGAGAGGTTAGGGAACATACTGGAGATCACAAAGCATGTAAATAGTAATTTTTACACAGATTTTCTGTAGGTAGGGCCTCAAACTAATAACTGTAGTGATAAATTATTCAGATTTCATGGAATAAAGGGTTTAATATTTATCACCTGTGTAGAGATGCCTTTTTCTTGTCTGCCACTTGGTTTTTTCCCCACCAGTCACCTGGGCTCTTCAGCGTTGTAGTCCCTAAATAACACATAAGACATTTATTAATTATGAAGCTGTTGGCCTTGCTTGTTTCTTACTGGCTAGCTCTAACTTAAGTATTTATCCCATAATTGTTAATATAAGTACTTCTCTTACCAGAGCAACGTTCCAGACATCTTACTTATCTGGCGGGCTATGTCATACTCCCTGTGTTTCTCTTACCCAGAGTCCTCCTGGACTCCTAATCCCACCTATCTTGTTTCCCTATTGGCCAACAGTGCTTTATTGACATATACACAGGTCTTCCCCATCACACCTGTAAACCTCTAAGTAGACCATTTTAAGGGACAATAAGTAATTTATTTACTAATAAGTTTTTAAGAGTTTTCTTAACATTTTAACTATTGTGTTAGGGGTGGGAGAGATGGCTCAATGGTTAAGAGCATTTGTTGCTTTTATAGAGGACATGAGCTTAATTCCCAGTAACCATATGATGGCTCACAACCCTCCAATTCCAGGGGAAAGCAGTACTCTCTTCTGATTACCTCTCATACCAAGCATGCACATGCTACATAACATACACGCAGGCAACATTTGCATGCACATAAAACAAAATAAATAAATCTTAAAAAGTTAATATAATATAGGCCCTGAAAATCGAACACTTACTAAATATGTTTTTAGCCATTAAAAGTAAGAATAGAAAGACAAAGATGAGGGTAATGCCAGGAGGTGGGTAGGGAAGAGAAGAAAAGGTGGGGCATTTGAAATTCTAAGGATGTCTGAAAATGCCAAATAGAACAGGTAAAGAAAGAAATCAGAAAAGCATCACCTTTTAAATAGCCACAAATAATATAAAATATCTTGGGGTAACTCTAACCAAATGAATGAAAGGCCTGTATGACAAGAACTTTAGGTCTCTGAAGATGATACCAGATAATGAAAAGATCTCCCATGCTCTTGGGCAGGAAGGACCAACATAGAAATAATGGCAATCTTCCTAAAAAGCAATCTGCAGATTAAATACAATCCCATTAAAATCCCAACACAATTCTTCACAGACCTCACAAGAACAATATTCAACTTCATATGGGAAAAGAAAAAACCCAGGATAGCTAAAGCAATCCTGTACAATAAAGGAACTTTCAGAGGCATCACCATCACTGACTTCAAGCACTACTGTTGAGCCATAGACACAAAACCACCTTAGTATTGACATAAAAATAAACACATGGACCAATAGAATTGAATTGAAGACCCTGACATTAACCTACACACTTATGAACACTTGACTTTGACAAAGAAGCCAAAAAAGGTACAATAGAAAAAATGGTGCTGGGATAACTGAGTGTCAACATGTAGAAGATTGCAGATAGATCCATATCTATCACCATGCACAAAATTCAAGTCCAAGCGAATCAAAGACCTCAACATAAATCCAGGTACACTAAACCTTACAAAAGAGAAAGTGGGGGGTAGCCTTGAATGCATTGACACAGGAGACCACTTCCTAAATATAACACCAGCACCACAGACACTGAGAACAAAAGTCAATAAATGGGACCTCCTTTACTGTAAGTCAAAGGACACAGTAAACATGACAAAATAACAGCCTACAGAAAGGGAAAAGATCTTCATCAACTCCATATGTGACAGAGAGATGATTTCCAAAATATATAAAGAACTCAACAAGCAAAATACAAAATAATCCAATTAAAAAATGGTGTACAGAGCTAAACAGAGAATTCTCAACAGAAGAATCTCAAATGGCTAAAAGACATTAAGGAATTGCTCAACATCCTTAATCATTGGGAAAATGCAAATAAAACAATGCTGAGATACCATCTTATACCTGTCAGAATGGCTAAGGTCAAAAACACTGACAATAGCCTATGTTGGAGAGGATGTGGAATAAGGCTAGCCCTCCTCCACTGCTGGTGGAAATGCAAACTTGTACAGCCACTTTGGAAATCAGTATGGTGGTTTCTCAGAAAATTGGAAATCAATCTACCACAAGACCCAGCAATACCACTCTTGGGTATTTATCCAAAATGTGCACACTCATACCACAAGGAAGTTTGCTCAACTATGTTCATAGCAGCATTATTCAAATAGCCAGAATGTGGAAACAACCTCAACTAAAGAAAGGATAAAAAAAAATGTGGTACATTTACACAATGGAGTGTTACTCAGCTGTAAAAAAACAATGACATCATGAAATTTGCAGGCAATTGGATAGAACTAGAAAAAGCCATCCTGAGTGAGGTAGCCCAGATCCAGAAAGACAAACACAGTATGTACTCACTCATAAGTGAATGCTAGATTTAAAGCAAAGGATAACCAAACCAAAATCCACAGCTCCAGAAAAGCTAGGTAACTAAGAGGGATACATGGATTGCCCTGGGAAGGGGAAAGGGATGAGATATTCTGGGTAAACTGGGCAGAGGAGTGGAGGAGATGGGGGATGAGAACATGAGAGAACAGGATGATCAAGTTGGAGGAAGGATGGTGTGGGAGAGCAATGAAAGAGGTATCTTGATAGAGGGAGCCATTAAAAGGCTAGGGAGAAACTGACGCTAGGGAAATTCCCAGGAATCCACAAGGATGAACCCACCTAAGACTCCTAGCAATAATATCGAAGATGCCTGAACCAGCCTTCTCCTGTAACCAGACTGGTGACTACCAAAACTATCATCATAGAACCTTCAACCAGTAACTGATGAAAGCAGACATACAGCCCCACACCCAAACACCAGGCCAAGCTACAGGAGTCCAGCTAAAGAGAGGAAGGAAGGGTTATATGAGCAAAAGTGGTCAAGACCATGATGGAGAAACCCACAGAGACAGTTGACCCAAACTTGAAGGAGTTCACAGAATCTAGACTCACAGCTGGGACACATACATGGGACCAAACTAGACTCTTTGCATATGGGCTACAGTTTTGTTGCCTGGTCTGTTTGTGGGGCTTCTGGCAGTGGGACCAGGATCTATCCTTGGGATATGAGCTGGCTTTTTCATTCCCTACAATGGGAAGACTTGCTCAGCCTTGATGCAGTGGGAGGGGCTTAGTCCTGTCTCAACTAAATGTGCCAAGCCTTGTTGACTCCCCATGGGAGGCCTTACCCTTTCTGAGGAGTGGATGGAGGTGGGTTGGAGGGAGGTGAGGGGAGGAGCAGGAGAAGAGGAGGGAGTGGAAACTGTGTATATAAAATGAGTTTTAAAAAAAAATGCCAAATAGAAATCTACTATTTCACAAGCTTCCTTAAAAGCATACCTAAATGTTTAACTGAAATTGCACGACATGGGGTAACAATGATCCTCCCAGAAGTCTCAGGCAACCAAACAAGAGCCCAGTGCCCGCTGTGAGATGTCTCCCTTTAAACTGTATGGTGGCGAGGGAGGGGCAGCCCAGTGCTCACTGTGGGAAGTCTCCCTTTGAACTGTAGGTAGGGGTGGAGAAGCAGCTTTTGAGTTATGTGAGACTAATTTATAAAACATATAGCTATATAATCAACATAGAATTCATGAAAACAAATGTGTATATTTGGACAAACATAAAAATTAGTTTACTACTGTTTGAGATTATTTTTAGTTCACATAATTTCCTTACTGATTCTTTGGGACTTTCACATCATCCACTCAAATTCCACTCACCTCCCAGTCTCCCTATATCTTCCCCTCGCCCCTGAAGTGCCCCTCCAGAGAGAGTTTTTAAAAATTAAAAAAAAACAAGAAACAAACAAACCTCATCACTCCTCCATCTTTCCTGCATCTCCCACAACTGTTTAATCACCCTGGTGGCACTGGGAGCTGCTGTGTGTCACAATGTACCTTTTTGTCCAATCAGCTTTACTTGCAAATGCTCATTGCAACAAGTCATTGGTCTGGTTCAAGGCCTCTGGTTCCTGGTACACCATCATCACTGGATTTCTCGTGGCCACCCCAAGTCATGGAGATCTGAGGATATTGTTCCATAAGACCAGTCCCTTCACGAGCTCCAGCAGGTCCTAGATGGGGTAGATGTTAGGGTGGGTCAATCCCAGGCCTGAGCTTTTCAGTCCAGGCCACAGTAGCCACACCCCTCAGGTGAGGGTGCAGAGTCAGCTCCCCATACACCATTGCCATCAGAGTAATGTGAGGGGTGGGACCATGTCTCCCAAGTGTGGGGAGGCTGGCTCACCTGTAATGGTCGGCGCCAGCTCTCTTGTTGCAGTGTCTAGTGGGAGAAGGGCCTGCTCATCATGACCCTCTGATCTCATCAAGCATGCTTCTTTCTTGGCCATGCATACACCTGTGCAGTTTAGGGGGATGAATATTAATCTTCCCTTATCAAAATACTAAAAAACATTAAGTTTATTATGAAGTAATAGATACAAAGTATTGAAGAACGACAATAACATTTTGTATATACACACACACAAATAACTTTCACACACAATAACACACACAAAAAATCAAGGAATTATATGACACCAGCAAAAAAGTAAAAGCTCCATACCTGAACAAACTAATGAGGAGCGTGCTGTGACATCAGGCTGAGCCTTTCAACTGCACGACATAAAACTAACGAGCCCTAGAAATAGTCGAGAAGAAGTGGCCAGCCCCAGAAGCAAATGAAGGGTATTTGGGTATATTTTCTCAATTGCTTGTTTATAGGGTTTATTGTTTTGCTTGTGCTAAACCAAATCTGTTAACTCTCATGTTTAACAAGAAGAGCAGCCACTGACAGAATAGCAGTAAAACCTATTTCAGAAAGACTAGTGCCAACATAAAGTTATTGCTCTGACACAGGGTGAGCAATTATCTTGCTAGATAAGTCTCTCTAGTATCCAGAGTTTAGCTTATTAAATATTGCTTTCATTAATCTCTCTAATCTTCCCTGTTGTAGCTCAGCAGAGCTGTTGCCAACCCTCACACAATAAAGAAGGCTGAATTTCACATAAATTTTCCATATCACTTAGATCTCCTCCCTTAATCTTGAGCATTCTTACTTGTAGGTGAACACTGCACAGCCCCGACCCACCAAGCCAGTATATGTGCTCGTGCCAACAGTAACTGAAGTGCAGTAATCCCACATCCTACATTAAGTAACAGCCATGCTTCAGCTGTCACACCGAGAACTAAGATCACATCAGCTCGCTACTAGAGGCTTAGCCACTGTATCAACTATTGACATTAAATCTTTGGAAGCGATGAAAGTTAACAGTGCTATTTTTATGTTATGCCAAAAAAAATCATCCAGTCTGTTTTCCCTTTTTGATTACAGTTCATTTAAGGGAAAAATGTTGCTGCATGGTTTGACAATGCTCTATGTGTCTTCGGCTGATAGAACACACAAAACGTTTGAATAGGCCCATTTATTTGAGCAGACGTATTAAATAATACTTTAAATGTGAACATGAATGTCATAAATTTTGTAGTCTCTGTAAAGTAGGATAAATCTGGTATTTAAAGTGGTCTTTGTTCAAAGCCATTTTTTTTCAAACAGTCATAAAGGGACTCTGATTTGTGCAGCATGAACAATGCCAGCATCATCATTTTAATGTTATCCATATGGGCTTCTAATAATAGATAAGAGTCTACATTGGTATTATATGTCTCAGAGACATTTAAAATCTAGATAAGGAAAGACTGATTTCATTGGCCCCATAGTTAAAGGAAAGCAGACCCTAATTAAAAGAATTCTGTTCTGAATTAACTAGTTTGACATGTGCTAATTGACAGATCCTGTGAAATGGTTCTAATTAAAGTCAATATGTCTTTTTCAATTAAAAGGAAATTAAGAATATACTAATATACATTAACAACTTAATCTGCCTTCACTATCCCATCCATCAGCTGCTTTTCTCAGTAACACTGGAGAAGCCTCTGAGGTGAACCGTCTTCTCCTTGCTTACGGTCCTCATCATTACCTCATGGAGCAGGCACAGTGGTGGTAGCAGCCCCGTGAGGAGAAGGTAACCAGAACACTTGCTTTTCAGAACTCCTAACTCCTCATTCACTAAATATAAACATGCCTTGCTGTGTTTTTAAAAAATGGGCATTTCTTAATAAGAATCTTTGCTAACTGGAAACAAATACAAGTGTTCTCAATTAGTTTGTCCTTCTGCTATAGGCCCTAGAGGTAATTGCATTCTGCTGGGGAGAAGGCTGGACTATGTTTTCATCATTTGGCTTGATTCAAAGCAAAGCTTGATTTGAGCAACATAAAACAAAAACATCTTTCAAATCATGTTCTGTTTACCAAATGAAACTTTGGGGAAAGCTCAGGTGGGAATACTCTGTACTGTATATACAACAGGAAAATGGAAAGGAAGGTTGCTTGGATGCCAGCACTGACAGAAGGCACATCCTACTCAACGAAAATGTAGCATGAGAGCTGTTTATAGCAACACAATTAAATATTCACATATACGCTATCAAGATTGCCGTGTTAGCAATTTTAGTTCTAGTGAAAGTTATATTGACCTGAAACATCAATACTAATGTAAACAACATTAACATCACATAGAGAAGTAAGCAAATGATTAAAAACCATTTGTTTCTTAGTTCATGATTATAATTTAACTGTAATTTAAAAGGCCTTAAGGGAAAGCTCTGTAAGACACTATATGCAGTTGTTTAATTTGCAATAGACAATATTTTGATAGACATTTCATCCCCACGTCCTGTTCTCCAGGGTTTAAAATTAAACCATAAAATATAGCTACTTAAACAAACAGTGAAATACTTGTTTCCAACAAAACCAATTTATTTGTGTCTAATGCACATCAAGAACAATGGATAAATAAGTCAGTTCCACTATTTCCTTTTCTCGGTTACATTATTAAAATATTAAATTTGCTATTACCTGTAACATTGAGGATAGGAGTGGGAGAGATGTGGAGGCAGCCTGCCTGCCAGGCAACCCAACATCATTCATTGAAACCAGTTTTCCCAAATGTGTTCTATTATCCTTTCCTGAGTAATTACCAAAACTTTAATGAAAATCATTCTGTGTGGGGTTCTAAAAGCAGCTGACATGGAGCAAGTTTCCACCATGAGCAAAGGCGCATTCATGCGCTTTCAGGAAGATGGCCCCTTACCGTTGTGACTGTGATCCGCCTCAACAGCCGAAAGGCGGTGTCGCCTCCCAGCATGCAGAGCCCCTGTTGGGTTTCCAATCCTAGGCTCTTGCTCCTCGAGCTGGCATGGGAAATGTACTCAGCTTTTTGAAATGGGAAAGGAGCCAGCGCAGCAACTTTTCTGCCCAATTAAAGAGTGTTGTCTACAGCAGGCCTATACAACATAAGGCCTGCAGACCGCACACAGCCACGAAACAATTGTTCATGACCCACCCACAGATTTGGGAAGGGAAGCAAGTAAAAGAAGGATTGGCAATAGGGCACCTATGTCAGCACGAAGGCAGGAGGCCGTTCTACAGACTCCGCCTCTATGTTCACATGTGACGGCGCCATGTGTCTAAACCCAAGAAGGCGGTCAACATGAACTGCCAACCCTCCTGACAAAGATTTCCGTCCCACAGTGCTACACTGGCTCAAGCACTTCCTAAAAGCAGGAACCGCGCTGAAATGGAATTCGGAAACCCAGACGCAATCACCTGTGCATACTCTTATAACAGTTGACAAGTTCGTCCCAGTGATCCCTATGGCATGTATTTCCTTGCTAGAATATGCTCCCTTCCATCCTGTCTCCTGATCGTGTCATTCAGTTGCAAATAGGTGATTAAATAACTTATTACTCAAAGAGGAACACTCGTAAGATTGAGCATAGACGAGAGTAAGGATCAGTTTCTCCACCGAATGAAACATAATCAACTATTTCAGCGTGCTGGAATCTAACTGAGCATGTTTTAGTATCAGTAGGAATGCTTAATGAAGAAAATATGGGTAATATTGGTGAGTTTCAGTGGCACATCTAGCAATTTAAGAGTATCTCTTATTATGGCTAACCCTATAAAATGCAACCATATACTCACAGGGTAGCCTGCTAGTACCAGAGTCAACTCTCTACTCCAGAAACTGGGGTTCTGTATTGGGTCTGTCTGATACTCTGCAGTACAGCCAATGAGGCTAACCACAAAAGTGAAGGTCGCTTACCGATACCAGCCTGTCACCAGGAGTTGAGGACAGGACCTGTCTCATAGCTTTTCTTCTTTGTTGTAACCAGGCTTTTAAGGAAATCATTGGTTGACCACACCAATAATAACGAAAATATTACAGTTTTTGTTTGTCACAAAATTGGAAATGAACATCAATGGCCTTCATCAAGCAATGACTACCATCCTTGGTGTCAGGGGACAGTTTGATCTCAAAATAGCTTTATCACAATATTTAAATTACCCATTAGAAAAGAGGTATATAAGCCACACCAAAAAATAATAAAGTATATCCCATCACAGAAAAACGCACACACACAAAAAAACGACTAAGAGACATCATTCCTAAGCAACCCAGACATACTTACCAAAGACTTTAACTATCATATTATCTATGAAGGAATTAATAAATAACTAAATTAAATTATGTAATTTAAATGTGTATAAGTAAAAATATCAATAAAGGAATAGAAAAATATTTTATAGGTATGAAAACTAGAACTGAAAAATATGAGATGAAAATTTTTAATTCACAAGCTGTGTTCCATAGTCCCTTTTAGCAGTCAAAAGAAAGAACTGCCAAGCATGTACTGGAGTGCAGAAATTAACTGAGAAACTTAACAGAACCTAGCAGATTTATGAGGGATACCATGAACCACACTAATACAGCATGGAAGCCATAGAATGACAAGAAACTAAAATGAATGGAAAAAATGAGAAACATTTGAATATTCAAAACCTCCCCAAGTTTGATTGACAACATGAATCTATACATTGGGAATCTCAAAACTCTATCCAGAACAAACTCAAAGATCCATTCTAGGATGTATAATCAAATGATTAAAAGTAAAAGACAAGGAGAAAAAGTCTTGTAGGGATCAGAAATGAGGAGATCCATCATATGCTCAGAACCCTCAGTAAATAGCAGACTGCTTCTCATAAGAAACTCTAGAGGCCAAAATGAAATAGGACAAGCTATGGAAAATATAGAAGGAGGAAAACATGCCAGGGATTTAATCTAGAAAGTCAGTCCTTCAGAAATGAAAACTAAGATATTTCAAGATATCAAAACATAAGAGAATTCATCTCTAGTAACCTAATCAGCAAGAGTTGCAGAAGGGGAGCACCAAACAGAAACTAAAATAATACAAAAAAGTAAAACATTTGTTAAGATAGTTACATAAGTACATCTT